GCCAAGCCACCACCTCCTAATCTGAGTAAACAAGAGAAACAAGCTGTAACTTCGTTAAGTAAGGATCAAAACATCACAATCCTTCCAGCAGATAAGGGGAGATGTACAGTAGTTTTGAATACGGAGGACTATCATGAAAAGGTACTTCTTCTTAATGACAGCAATACATATGAACGGTTGAAGCATGATCCCACATGGAAATATAAGAAGCAAGTCATCAGTTGTTTACAGTTGTTGGAGAAGCAACAATCCATAGATCGGAAATTGTATTTTCGTCTGTACCCTGGTGAAAGCACTCCTTGTATATATGGATCACCAAAAAATACATAAGGAGGGTGTTCCACTCAGAAGAGTGGTGAGTAGTAATAATTGGTTACTTACAATGTGGCTAAATATTTGGCCATGGTTTTGAAACCGTTGGTGGGTAAGACAGAACGGCATATACAGAACACTAAGGATTTTGTTGATAAAATCAAAGGACTCACCTTGGAATCAGATGAGACTATGGTGTCGTATGATGTTACATCATTGTTTACATGTGTGCCGACAGCCCAGGTGATTGAAATTGTAAAGGAGAGGTTGAGTCAGGACCACACACTGGGTGAGAGAACACCACTGAGTCCGGAAGAGATTGGTTCACTGCTGGAATTGTGTTTAAACACAACATATTTCAAGTACAAAGATGAGTTTTATCGACAGAAGCATGGATGTGCGATTGGTTCCCCAGTGTCACCTATAGTGGCTGATCTGTACATGGAGTAAGTGGAAAGAAAAGCTTTGGACACGTATAGTGGGGATGTTCCAAGCCACTGGTTCAGATATGTGGACGATACATGGGTGAAGATTAGGGGAGATCGATTTCTTCTCTGAGCACATTAATTCAGTGGATATAAATATCAAGTTCATCAAAGAGGAAATGTTGGACAACAAACTTCCTTTCTTGGATTGTGCTATAAGTGTCACGAATCTAAGAGTGGGTGAAGACAGGAGATTACAAGTGGAAGTGTAGCGTAAACCCACTCATACGGACCAGTATCTTCTGTTTGATTATACCCTAGCGATAGATACAGATATAAATATAGGAATAACATGCATTGATCATTCACAATAAGAAACAGAACTAGGAAAATGTTGACTTTGGGTCACTACAGTATAAGCCTTAACATACATGCTTGAAATACTCATGCACAAAAACAGAATCCAGATAAGGAGTTCAACTACTTTAAATGTGTTCTTTAGCAATGTTCAGTCTTTCTGTACAGGAACCTTTAAAGGAAATCATTTCCTTGAAAAGCACACACAAAACCAGCTGTCAGCCATTACAGAACAGGAAAAGATTGTTAAAAAAAAGGCATAACAATGAAAACAAAAATCATACAATGCTCTATATGAATACAATAATGAAATGCATCTCCACTATCTCCAGCTAGTTGTAAAACTTTTGGCCGCAACTGCGTATGTAATTTCAGCGATGGCTCTACCCCTCAGGTGGTATCATCTGTCATGCACTGCGTGAGCTGTTTTCTTTGAACAAGTCGTGATGTCTTTGTTAATAAGTGGACTCGATCTACACATGAAGCAATTTTATTCAAATCAGCCCAACTGATTACGCCCCTCCAGCGTACCTGCGGGCTGCTTTATAATGTAGTAATGCGTAAAAACACCATGAGAGAGAATGTTCTCATTCTTCCTGCAACTGTTCAAAGGAGCTATTGTTCAGGGGAAGACACCTGTTACTATTCAACAGGAGGGAAAGATTAATGCTTTAGATTAGATTTAAATGTATACAATTACAAATAACAGTGTTTATTCTTTTCTTTATGCAAAGCAATTAGGACAGAGTGATTTTTGAAGTGGTAAACATGTTATCTTGCTTGTGCCTGCTGTTTAAGATGGATAAGTTCATCGAAAAACAGTTCACCTGTGCACCTGGACACAAACACCACAACAACCATGGCTCATTCTCTCAATGCCCTCACCTACAACTATCATCTCGAGTAGAAGAGACAAGAAAACCTAACCTGATGCATTCTTCCGAAGGAACAAAAAGCTGAAATTGCTTCCATATGTTCTCACGAATGCAAAGGAAAAGTCTGCTTCTGCATTTAACATGGACGGGATTACCCTTCATGTGCTACATATACAGTATATCCATCTAGGATCGGGTACTCTTAATCTTAATTATACATTTCAACACGGCAAAAGAAACCAAAAAGTGACCTTGAAATCAAAGAGCAAGTACTTTAAAATCCTAATAAATAATGCATATATATTATTACTGTCAAAAAGTTTGTAATAATGTTTATTTCAATAAATACATCGTCTGAAATATATGTTTTGTATATTTTAAATGTAATTTATTCCTGTGATGCAAAGCTGAATTTACAACAGCCATAATTCCAGTCTTCAATGTCACACGATCCTTCAGAAATCATTCAAATATGCTTTTTTTTTATGGGTGTGGGTGTGTGTGTGTGTGTGTGTGGAAACCATGATGCTTTGTTTTTCTGGGTGAACAGAAAATTGAAAATGAGCAGCCAGCATGTATTTACATTTTTTTAATTTAACGTTATTCATGTACTGTCACTTTTGTTCAATTTAATGTGTTGTTTTTAATTTCTTTTGAATAGTAGTGTATATATTACAACCTTACGGTACTTTAAAGAGTAGAATTGCACTAGCATCTCCATGATGACCAAAAAAATATGATACTACCACAGTGCCATGCCTAAAAATAGTTTTAATAATGGCCAGAACTTGCACTAGGCTCAACACAGAATTATTAAAATACAAATTTACGTTGCATGCCTCAAACCTGGCCACATTTTCCCTCTACTTTCTTTGTTATGATCAGTTTGAATGCCTAGAAACACATAAACGAACACATAAATAACTCGTGACCAATAAAATGCATCCACATTATCGTCATCTGGAACACAACATGATTGAGAGAACGAGACCCACAGAGAAGCAAAGAACGTAAAGGGCCCTAAAATAATTGTGGAATACCCCGATTCTGTTTTCTCTAAAGCATACTAGTGTTAAAAGAATAGCAGCCTCTAAAAGTCCCACTCTTCATCGTGTCAAATCCAAAGAGGTTTTCTCTTACCATCTGCCTCAATGAGGAGAGAGATAAAAGCCTATTGACTAGCGTGAGCTGCGGTTAATGCAAATTGCTGCTTGCTATCAATGTATTATTTATAGAGCACGCCGGAGACGTTTTCCACTGAACTGGGAGCTTGGCTTACAGGAGATTAGTTATGCTATCACATTCATTTAGCAGGGAGTAATTGCTTAACTGCAGGGGAATTAACACGTGTTACACTTCCACTGGAGCTACATGCTGTTTATATGGGTGACAGACATTACAGGGTTATCAATATTAAAAGATAAACAAGCGCTAAAGGTGCCGGGAAAAACATTCCACCGGAAAAGATCTGGCAACCTACAAACCGCTAACCAAATCTCGAAAGCATTCCTGACCAGAGCGTATTTGAATAACAAATTAGACATAATCTGAGGCCTATCTATCCATCACTGTATGGCTGTAGCTGTTGTTTATATTGCAAATAATATGCAAATGTAGCACCTCATGAGTAGCTTGCGTGGGTGCTATATATATCATGTTAAACAAGAGAACCTGCACATTTAGATAAGACCAGTTCTCTCATTTAACGTCCACTGACAAGATAACAAATCAAATTATAAACCAGAGACAACATTTGACTCGCACATCAAAACGGTCATGCAAATTATATACACTTTTCCACAGAAACATCTGCTTTGGAGGTCATGGTAATGCATGATAGAGAATTTCACCCTGGTAGCTCATTTCTAATCGATGATTCTGCAACTAGTCTCGTCTCCATAATAGTAAAAGTGCCCCTATTATGGATTTTTGAAAATTACCTTTCATGTCGTGTGTAACACAGCTCTAAGTGAATGAAAACATCCTGCAAAGTTTTAAATCTGAAAGTGCACCGTGTATAAAGTTATTGTCTCTCAAAAGAAAGAGTCGTCTCTGAATCATTGAAACGAGTCGTTTTTAAAACGAATCCCAAGCCGTTTCATGTTGACGTCAACATGAAACATTAGCATATTGCCCGCCCACTTGTTGTTTTTTTCGCGTTGGTCTGAATGAAAATGCAAATTCATTCTTTGCCACTAGGTGCCGCTGTTGGAGCGGTAAAATAGCTGTTTCCCCGGTAACGCTGTACACAAAGCAGCACTGCGCTCACAAACGCTGCTTTATCAGGCATTACAGGCAAGATGAAATGAAAATGAGACCAATCGGACCAATCACCGCCGATTAGCGTCACGCAAAGGAGGGGTTTGGAAACATGAATCATTGAGTGAATTATTTGGGAGTCATTGAGCAAGTAAGGTAAAAATAATTGCATAAGACAATGAAAGTGTTTTTGACCTTGCATGCATGTCAACCTGTTGTTGGGGACTCCCAAAACCAAAATATGAACCTTTCATAACCCATAATAGGGGCACTATTAAAAAATGCACCTTTCAGAAACAGGACACAAAAATACTACACTAATTCTAATAAAAATAAGAATTACAGTTACTTTAGCTAATCAAAGACACTTTTTCTTCACATTTATAAGGCGCTCGCCTCTTTAAGTGAAGTTCACAATAGTACTTCCTGCCTAGAATTAACTAGCACAAACATCAAGACAGGTGTCTACTTTTCAAGTTCAAACAACTTCAAAGTAGTTGAATTGACACGCCAAACACAATGACACCTCACAGAAAGCTTAAAACACTTCCACAATAAGTGTACTTTCTCTCTACCGCACTGCGTTCGCCTTTGTATCGCTTTAATATGCAAATAAACAACAATCACAAGACTGGCAGCCATTTTCTGTCATCTACACACATACACAAACACGCATGCAGACAGGAGACAGGCTTTCATACTCCAGAATCACTCTTACTCACTCCACGGCGGGTTAGATAAACACACAAACACTCATGAAAAGAAGTCTTACCTTGTCATCGATGTCACTCTCGCTGTCGCACTGTAAGGAGATAGTGAGAAGAAAAAGATATGAGAGAATTATTCATTCATTCTCCGACCTCATTATCGGTCCAGGTATGATTTTTACGGCTACTCTTTTTTTTCCCTTCTTTCGGTGACACCTTTCAACAAAAATGGAGGTGATGAAGGGGATAAAGTGATGCATTTGAAAGAGGCTGCCATGGTTCAAAAGTGAGACACACTTTTCCTTCGGTTTTCAGGAGCGGGTTGAGAGTCGAGCGGCTCAACGGATCATAATGGATCGACAGTTCAGGGGAAATTATTCACATATGGATGAGATGCTGGCAAATTACTGGGGGAAAAAAATATCAGAAAGCTACGTGACAGCCAGCCGGTGCTGAGACAAAAACTCAAAGCAAGTGAATTTCATGTCATAAATACGTCTCACAAAAAGCAGAAAAAATATAATTTTTTATATTTATAGAAAAAAATGGTTGTCTCTCTCTCTCTCTAAATATGTATGTACTGTATGTGTTACAGCTGATATTTCATAGAATGTTTTGTGAAAAATATTTTATTTAACACACATAAATTAACATGTTTATGTTTGTAGAGTAGAAAATAATAATTTTAAATAATAATTTCCTCTTGCTTTGTACTCTATTTCTCAGAGAGGCAAAACAAAACAAAAAAAAGAGCATTTAAAGGGGTCATATGATGCGATTTCAAGTTTTCCTTTCTCTTTGGAGTGTTACAAGCTGATTGTGCATAGATAAGATCCCTGAAGTTGCAAAGACTAAAGTCTTAAAACCAAAGAGATATTCTTTATCAAAGTTAAGACTCTGCCATGCCCCCCTTAAACGGCTCGTTCTAACACGCCCCCACATTTCTACCTCACTATGTGGAAATATTTGCATAATGCCGCCCAAATGTGCACGCAAAGAAAGAAGGTGTGGTTTCAGTAATCGCAGTTAGTGTTATAGCAGCATGTCAGGGAGACGCTGCAACCGTGGCTTGTGTACTGCAAACACATACCAGCTTCATCACTGTGTCTGTCACGCGACTCTGTTCCCCTTTCGGGCTTGAACTGATGGTAAAAATAATGACATTATTTACTGTCTTTACATTTATTTTGAAAGATGAAGCTGGTGATTATGGCAAGGGGCGTTACATTTCCGATGAGTGCTTGCGGTGTTCGGCCAATCACAATGCACTGGGTCAGCTGGCCAATCAGAGCAGACTGCGCTTGTCGGAAGGAGGGACTTTGTAGAAAACGAAGCGTTTGAGAGAGGCGGGGCATAGAGGACCTACAATAATGTACAGTATTTGAAAAATAATGTGTTTTTTGAACATTAAAGCATGTCAACATATTCTGTTACACCAAATACACAAAATAATGATCTTTAAAAAAGCATCATATGACCCCTTTAAAGAGTCTTGAAAGTTGCAAAGGAAAAAAATAGCCTTTATAACAAATCACATTGTTTGTGTCAAAATCCACCTGATTTTGAAATGAAAATGAACTACGTTAAGTGAAGTACATTAGATCTCCCAAGAAATGTTCTTCTGAAGATAGAATGCAGAATTACTCTATCCAGCTCAAAGTTAATCTGCGGTGTTACAAAGCTAGTTAAGAGAAAGGTGAAAGGTGCAGGGAAGGGGCTTCATGAAATACTTCAACTAATTTACGAGGGACAGTTGAGCACAGAATACAGCCACCGCTTTAAAAAGCTTTAAAACATCAAAAAAAAAAAATAAAATCAAATTAGGGTACACTGTCTCCCTCTCTCCATGTTACAAAATACCCTCTACAACACTTAGCAGGCGCTGGAGTGCCGTATTCCTACATACATTTTTCATGCCGGGCCATTATTGCACACTCTTGCGCTTCTAGTCTTTCATTTGAAAGAGTGGTGGAGGACATCTCGGGTCTCGCGGCATAAATGGACTGCAATTATGCATATGCAAATGAGCAATTACAAGCCATTTGCACTTAAAGGACTGATCACAACCACTCACTTTTGTTTTCTTAATGAGGATCTGAAGTTCACGTCTTTTTCCTACCGAAATGAGAATTTTCCATTCAACCTTCTTTAGTCTCCACTTAGAATATGATTGCTTGTTTGCATCTGAGTTCGCATGTATTCATTAACGAGAGATATTCACGAGTGTAGTCTACAGTTGAACAAGACTTTCTGACTTTATCCTTTGTCGCAATGCAAGAAACGTCACTTTCAAAACAAGCATCTTTCTGCTGGTCAGCTTGGCAAATGTTCGTGACCAACATGAACGCCATGCAAAATCTGTGTGTGGAAGTCTTTCATCCTCATGAAAAACTCGTGATCACATGTATTTATAATAAAATGACTGGATTGTACCTGTGAAATTCGTCGAACATTGGTAAATCTAACTGCATCTTAAGAAGGTACTGAAATACATTTTAAAAATAAATAAATAGCAACAGTTTGCAAGGAGGTTTCATTAGTTAACTATATTTATTAACATGAGCTTAGTCAATTAAAAGTACTTCCAAAGCATCAAACTTGGTTAAAATAAAGTTAGTTAATATTTAGTGAATATTTACTAATAAATTAATAAAATGAAAAGTTGCATTTGTTAATATTATTCAATGCACCTGCGCTAACATGACCTAATAATGAAAAGTAGTATAAAAGTATTACGTTCACAAAGACTAATAAATACCAAATGTACTGTATTGCTCATGATTAATGTTAGTTAATGCATTAACACACGAGTAAAGTGTTGGAAAACGTTACCAAAAAAAAAAAAGATGGGATGGATAGATGCATGAATGAATAAATAAATTAACATCTGTCTGACTTCTGTCTATCTTGTTATTTAAAGGGGTCATATGATGCGATTTCAAGTTGTTCTTTCTCTTTGGAGTGTTACAAGCTGATTGTGCATAGATAAGATCCCTGAAGTTGCAAAGACTAAAGTCTCAAAACCAAAGAGATATTCTTTATCAAAGTTAAGACTCTGCCACGCCCCCCTAAAATGGCTCGTTCTAACACGCCCCCACATATCTACCTCACTATGTGGAAATATTAGCATAATGCGCCCAAATGTGCACGCAAAGAAAGAAGGCGTGGTTTCAGTAACCGCAGTTAGTGTTGAAGCAGCATGTCAGGGAGACGCTGTGTGTGTCTAGGCGAAAGCAAAAGCACTTTATTTGGCCTTCCGAAAGTAGATGCATTTAGGAATCTTTAAGATTACTACAAGCAAACAAACAAAGGACAGGGATGACGGAGAAGAGGTAAGAGCGTCCCTGTGTTTGGCCGCTGATGCCCATTATCTGTTTTTGAATACGGTATAAACAATAAAACCATCAAGAGAACAGACACATGTTAACCTGTTTCTCAGTTTCCACTAATAACGACAGGTCCTGCTCAAGCAAGCAGCTTTCTTGTGGCTTGATTTGTTTGTGCGTGTGTATGCAGAGGCTACGCTTACCCATACAACCTCCCACACAGGGTTTCACCGCACACTTTCCTATAGCTCGCATGGAAATAAAGATTGCAGCCAGGGACAGGAAAACTCTCAGAGTGCTCTTAAATTCAAAAGCCTGCATTCGCTCAATGGAAATTCAGCACAGTTCAGCAGCACGCCTTTGTGTGTACAGATGTTTCATGTACATTCGTGAGAGTCTATGCTGTGGATTAGAGGCACCCATTCATTGACACTGTCCTTTGCAGCACTGGCTATACAAATCCTACTTGCCACAAGTCATCCACTGTAGGTCCAAGGCATTAGCACAAACAAAGTGGCTTTGCCGATTGTCAATCATGTTCTTATTCAGGTGGGATTTTCTTGTTGGGCGATGTGGAAGTCAAACAGTTCAAAGTCAACAGCTCTGTCAGTGATTCAAACTTGTGGTTACATTTCTCTGCTCTAGTAAGTAACAAAAGCGGCATTTGACTGCATCTGGCATATTGCGGCTAATATTCCACGCTGAATGTAATGTTTGCTAGGCCGCAAGATATAAGATTGTGTGCATTTGTGCGTATAAGTATGTGGGTGTGAATACGCACTTTGAACGCACAAGACTTGGGCACACCTACATCCTGTGCGGCAAAAAGAGGCCCAACTGAACCCAAAAGAGGGCAGGAACCGAAAAAGGTAGACAAACAGGAAGACATGGAGTGAATTAATTCAGAACAGAGTGCAAAAATAATTCTGAGAAACAAAACCATATTTAGAGTGAGAAAGGCACACAATTTCTGATTCTTTCACTGTACCATGGCAATGTGCTCTGGATAATTATATATAGTGTTTTTGATAGAACTGTTAATTAAATAAAAAAAAAAAAAATAGTAATTAGCGTAATTATATATATATATATAGACACATAAATAGCTAAACATATACTGTATAGTGTGAGTGCACGTGTGGAGTAATATTTAATAATTATTTATTTCATTTTATTTTACACAACAACATAAAGTATTTACTTCTTTTATTAAATTTAAAACATTTATAACATTTAATATTTGATATAAAAATATTATAAAATGTAGAACAGCTCTGGATATATCAATTAAAAATGCCAAATTGTAATTTGAAAAAGTAACACGATACAACAATAAATACCACAGTATTAAATTAAAGTAGCATAGAGTATGTGTTTTTTTATTTATTTATTTATTTATTTTTAAGTACTCTGTAGTACTAAGTACCATACATGAATTTTAGCACCCTAATTAAAGCCTATATATGAAAGTACCCTTGCTGCAACTAAAACTAAAGTGCACAAAACACAGATCTATAAATCTGACATACCTGCGGAGAGGACGGCAGTGACTTGGACAGAAATTAAATACTCAGCAGACAGAGGTAGAGTAGAAAAACATATGAGATGGACACAGTGAACGATACAATAAAAGGTGGTGTTATGTTTACATTGGACATTACAGCTTCTCCTGTCATCTCCCGTGAAGACGGTTTTGACATTTAAATAGCTTTCTTCACATTTGGTGAGCGCACTTTATTTACAGACTCCCTCGTGAACGCCGCGGCACG